CCAGCGATGATGTTAGACGATATTCTAGGAGATGAGTCCTATGCAACCATAAAACGTCGCGCAATGGATAGAGAAGGATGGAGGAAATGGATGCCTCGAACCTGCCCTAGGGCAGAACACTAAATGATGAAATGATGTACACAGTGAATTAAGCTGTCTGTTCCGTTATCTAAATAGGTCTCATTTTCTAGGATAAAAAAGTACCTTATATAACAGACGCTGTTTTACGTCTCGTTTAAAATGGGAAAAAACGTTCGTATCGTCAGTCATACACGTGGCGAGAGTATATGTATACGTTTATACCACGTGGATACGCACGTGGAACAATCTATTTTTTTCTAACAGTTTGAAGAAACGTTTTTCATTTTCATTTTTGGTTTCTCAAAAGAATCTTAAAAGAAAGACAAAATATGATAGAAGTCATTTATGCTAGAGGTTAATAAATGGCGGAGCCATTTACGCTAGGAAAAAAGTTATTTATGCTAGACAAACCTCCCGGATAGACAAATTATGAAAGAAAAAGAGCCCTTTATGCTGGAGAGTAATAAATGGCTGTGGCGTTCATGCCAGGAAAAAAGCCATTTATGCTAGAAATTAGCTATTTAAGCTAGACAACCTTCCCGGATAGACAAATTATGAAAGAGAAGGAGCCGTTTATGCTAGAGGTTAATTAATGGCAGAGCCATTTATGCTAGACGACGTTCCCTGATAGACAAATTGCGAAAGAGGAAGAGCCGTCTATGCTGGAGAGTAATAAATGGCTATGGCATTTATGCTAGAGGTTAAAAAATGGCATAGCCATTTATGCTAGAAATTAGGCAGTTATGCTACACAATCTTCACGGCTAGACAAATTATGGAAGAGAAAGACCGGTTTATGCTAGAGGTTAATGAATGGCAGAGGCATTTATGGCAGGAAAAAAGCCATTTATGCTAGATGACCTTCCTGTTTAAACAACTGTATAGCCATTTATTGGGAAAAAAGTGTGGGTAAGCCAATAGAAACGGTGCAATTTAGTATTTTCTTAATAAATTGTAAGCCCTCTTTACGTTTCATACTTTTAGTCCCTCTCATACTTTTCACCCTTTTCATACTTTCGTACTATTCTAGTTTTCATACCTTTATACCTTTCATACTTTAAATACAGATGCAAAATAATACTTTCGCATTGTTTTCGCGTTTTTATTCTCACCTGTATTCAAAGGACATTGTAGTTAGTAATCAGAACGACAGAAGAAGAGCGAAAACGTAAGAGCTACTAGCAACATTCTGCGTACAGTACCCGTGATAAGTTATATATATCGACGCTCTCTACGCAAGCGTTATCTGCATCAACTGTATGAGCTTATTGCCTCTTTGCTCTTATACTACGTTTTAGGGGGACTGGTTTTCATCTAAAGGTGAAAGCTATCACCAACGCCACTCTGATCTTTACCCAGTCGTGTTCAAAAAATGTCCAACCAGGAATACAAATTATCAGATGCCTCCGGCTTCAATTCAATCAAGTTACACAAGTCCTCGATTCCTCAACCGGGTCCAGGCGAAGTTCAGATTAAGTTTCATGCCTGCTCGCTCAACTATAGAGATCTGGTCATCAGTCGAGGAGAATACCCATTAACAGTGAAACCAGGAACCGTTCCAGCATCCGATGGAGCAGGAGAAGTTACAGCTGTTGGTGAAGGAGTTAAACATCTAAAGGTTGGCGATCGAGTATCACCCAATTTTAATCAAGATCACATTGGAGGACATCTTACAGAAGAAGCATTTGTATCAACTCTTGGAGGCGGTCTTGACGGTTGTCTTCGTCAGTACGGTGTCTTCCGAGCTATCAGCTGCGTCAAGATTCCCTCCACGCTCTCCTACGAGGAAGCCGCTACATTACCTTGCGCAGCACTGACAGCATGGAATGCTCTTTATGGTGTTCCAGACAAGGCATTACAACCAGGTCAAACCGTTCTCGTACAAGGCACCGGTGGAGTTAGTATCTTTGGTGCACAATTTGCATTAGCAGCCGGTGCAAAAGTCATTATTACTTCATCATCTAACGATAAAATCGCTACAGTCAAGAAGTACCTCGGCGAAAAGAACATTTCGACGATCAATTATTCTGAAACTCCAGAATGGGGTAAGAAAGCTAAAGAAATCACTGGTGGTAGAGGAGTAGATCATATTCTTGAAGTCGGTGGTGAGAAGACATTGAAACAATCATTTGAAGCTCTTGCATTCGATGGTTCGATCGACCTCATTGGCTTCCTTGGTCATGGAGGCGCTTCCACCATGAGTGGAGCAGAGGTTTGTATGGGAATATTGTTGAAGAATGCATGTATTCGTGCAGTTCTGATTGGTAGTGTCATGCAATTCAATGCTATGAATGCCGCGATTGAGACACATCAGATTAAACCACTTGTTGACAAGGTGTTTGAGTTTGAAGATTTGAAGAGTGCTTACGATTATCAATGGTCGCAGCAGCATGTCGGAAAAGTAGTTGTCAAGGTGTCGAATTGAATGCACTGTATGTAATCTAAATAAAACTGCTGACTGACAAATCTTATGTCTCAGAGCTACTAAATTCACGTTGGTCACTAAAGTAACACTTTGTTTTCGCATTATCATAACCACTTTGATAGATAGAGACGTAATCTTTTTTGCCAAAATACAGCTAACTGCTAATCACTATCATTATCATTTTCGCTTTTCTTGTTTCTCTCTCTCTTTACTCCTTTTTTTGTCCTTTTTTTCTTGTTACTATGTATTGATCTTATTCTGTATCCTTGTCCCACCTTCCATCTCCAGTCAACACGAAAAGATGTAATGGGTTCGCTTCCATCTATTCATTATTTGTACTGAAGTCTGCACACTTCCTTCTCTCAAAATAAAAGTTTACAACAATTCATCCACATTCACTCAATAGAGTGGTAGGGAACTTGCTATCCAATAGGCGTCTAACATGAGAAAGTTAGTCTAGGCTAACTCTTTTCCTGCTCTTTCTTTTGTCTAGCGGAAAGTTTCTTCCAAAATGCTCTAAAGTAGAATTTCTAGGAAAACCGTGGTTTTTGAGAT